CTCTCCCCCCAAAAAAAACCCCAAAACTTCAATTTGTACTCTGTCAATACATGGAGTTATGTTTGATCATTGTCTCGGTAACCATGTAGACAAGGGCAGTCCAGTCCTGATCAGTAAATAAAACATCTTTAGTTCTCTTTTTAAACCTGAAGCATCCAGAGAGAAATGAAAAACTGTAACTGTATCGGGGAAGCTACTGAAATATTTTTACACCATATCAAACCGCATCAGCTTTTTTTTCTTCTCTTACTTCTAAAGACTAGAAATGGATTTCAGAAGTCATTTGTGCAAGTTCATAAGAGGCCCAAACTGAAAAGATGGACAAAGTCAAGTATTTTATCTCTGATAGGAAAAATGCTTGTTGGGAAACATAAACAGGAATCTTGGCTAGAGTGCTTGACTTGCTCATCTGTACTCTCTCCCAACTGCTCTTATTTTTTTTGGTTGTTTCCACTGTTGCTGTAGTTTTTGAAAACCATAAACAGACCTCTTCCCATGTTTACAAAATGGCTTATAAAATTAAGATTCATTGTATTTTCCTTCCAATTTGTTTTTTTGTTGCAGCTATGCTTTGAAGGTGGTTACGCTTGCCTGCTAAAGCACTGAGCTTTGAACTTGGATCTGAAATGTTTCCTAGAGTTCCTCAAAGTAGTTCCTTTCATATATTTTCTGGATTTTAACCTTGGGGCAGGTCTACTGTTTAATGGATTAGAAAAGGTGACCGGTGAATATTGTGTTTGGTTGTTGTTTTCCTTGCCCACTTCCACCAGTGAAAACTGCCAGAAGAGAAAGCAACCTTCAAAAAACACTGAGAAGTTTATATTGCTTTTGCAATTCCACTGGTAAGATGTTTTGTGTCAAAAGAAGCATACATTTGTGTCAGATGTTTTCCTGCTCAAAGGCCTGCCCAGCGCTTTATCTGTGTGTTTTAAAATTCAACAGGAAGAGATGGAATACGTCGAACTCTTAGCAGCAGAAAAACATCAGGTTGAAGCCCTTAAGAACATGCAGCATCAAAACAAAAGCCTGTCAATGCTTGATGAAATTCTGGAGGATGTCAGGAAGGCAGCCGATAGACTGGAAGAGGAAATAGAAGAGCATGCCTTTGATGACAACAAATCTGTAAGTGATGTTTTAGACTCAGTCCTTTCATGGGTGGGCATTTATTTTTTTAGTTGATATTTGCACTGTGGGGGTGTTTCTCCTCTTAAATAGTTTTTAGGATTTTAGTGATTATTTAAAAACAAAAAACTTTTGGCTCAACATTTGTTTTTCCTTCCCTTTGAACAGAAGAAAGTATTCAGTAGTAGAACATTTGTTAGGAATTAGCAAACAGGAATAATTATTCCTTTTTTCTAGTGATTCTGTGGTTTTGATGTGAAAGTCCTCCCTGCAGCTGACCCTTTGCCAGTGACAAGTGTAGTCCACCTCACTGATACAGCCCATGGGAGTTATGGCATCTCAGTGGTGGTGGAGGGGACTATGATATTTAGACTTTGCAGGATATGGCATTACCATCTTAAGTGTAGTCCCCCCTTTTTTTCTCTTTCATTTTGTTGAGAAAGTTATGGGAGTACAAGAATCCTTGCTGTTAGTTTTCACAGTCTGGGAAAAAAGCTATACTGTTCAAGGTAAGGACGTGAAGTGTTTGTGGTGTTGCTTTCTTCCACTTCTGACTTGTGCTTTTTGCACCTTGGCCTATTTGCATTGTTCACTGCTGCTGTGTTGCATGATGGGCAGTATCCCTCTGGTGAGGCTGTATGTATTTGGAGCTGGGAGCACAGCAGTTAATTCTAGTGTCCCATTGTCCCATCCTCCGAGCTAGATTCCCTAAATCGGTCCTGTTTGCATAAACACGGGCTGCAGTTTTATTTGGCTTCTGCTCTTGAAAGGTTTTTGTTGATTTGCAGGTTGACTTCCAAGAGGTAAGCATAATTCTTGATTTCTGCTGAGGAGGAAAAAGAGTTGCTCTGTAATGGAGAGGCAGGCCATTTTTTGGAATTGTATTGAGAAAAAATGAAAGCAGCATTTTGTTTTGTATACACCAGATCGCAGCAGGTTGTACCTAGTAGGAATCCTACCTAGCAGGACCAACAGCTGGAAGGGATGAGCTAGCTGGAGTGCCCTCTTCTGTTCTGCTGGGATATAACGGCACGTTTGAAAGAGCAGGAACTGTTTCTTCTGCTGTACCTGTTAATTGGCAAAATGCCACCGCATCCTCTTTTGCCGGTGTCTCTTCGGTTTTCTGCTCGCATCTCTACTCACGAAAGAAACGGAATCATGAAATGCAACCTATTTACATCTCTGTCTTTGCAAGAAACATCTAGTGTGTTTTCTTTTAAGCTAGAACACGGGAACATTAGAACAAAGAAGCTCTTATAGAATCATCAGTAATCTGATAAAGATACAAAAGCTTCTATTAAAATATAATCAAATAGAAAAGTCAAGTAGGAAAGAATGAAAAAAATCTGAACTAACCCACTTAATGCAAAACGGGAGTATTTGCACACTATATTCTGTATGTACAACCTGCTTTCAGGATTTGCTGTTTTAGGAAATAAAATCCTGAAAATAACTGTCTTCTCTCATTATGCCCTCAAATGTATTAGTATTTGGAAGCTCACCCGGACCTGTGCCATTTACTCTTGCTCTTCTAGCACAGTCTGTCTTTTGTCGGTTCCTTTTCCTTTTGTAAAAGTAAAAATGCACCATACCACCCACACAACGCATGATTTTTATATATATTACACAGTCAAACCCAGGTTGTTTTTCATAATTGTGTTAATTCTATAAACATCTTCCCTTTTTTCCTAATATTGTTTCTGACCTAGACTGTGAACTCCACTAGATTAGGAATGTATTTATCCAATTGCATTGCTTTTATATGATCTTCAGTACATTTTTAATTCTGACGTGTAGAAGTTTGGTTAGATTCCAGACACACAAGCTACCAAGTTCAAAGGAACATAACAAACTCTATATGAATTTGGAGTTCCAGAGCTTCAGAGTAGATGCTTCACTGCTGATGTGTTTTTCTAAGATAATTAGTGAACACTATTGCTGACGTCATAACATTAAATTTCCAAGAAGATACTAGAATAGATGTTGGCTTATTAGCGTTGTTTGTTTTTAGGCAAAGTAATAGTCAACTGCAAGATGGGGACACTGCACTGAACACTGAAATAATTCCAGTGTGAAAGTCAGTGTAAAATGGGTGTTTCATTGCATATTGCATTGAACAGTAAGCTCTAAGCTCTGTTTTGGTATCCCTGCAGTAACAACTAGGGTGACAGAAAAACAGTAGGATTGGGCACTTATTGTGTATTCTGATTAGGAACAGTTCTTCATGTTTGCTGACTGCAGGGAAGCCTTTCTTCTTTGCTCCAATAATGTGAGAGTAGTTTGCATGTATATGGCATGCAGCAGCTCCTGCTTTCCCCTTGAGCTGAAAACATGAAACATGGTTTGGTCTCTTAGGCTTGGCAATGGACACTTCATTCTGGAATGCAGAACAGACTGGTAAGTGGGGAGCTCAGGGAATCAAAGGAGATTATATATATATATATAACCACAGGTTTTGGGGAACAAAAAGAGTGAAAAGGCAACTATAATAATGCACAAAAGAAAATGGTCATCAGCCTCTCACTCCTAACAGCTAAAAATGCTGATGTTTGAAGCAGCTATTCTACGCTTCTAAATAATTCTGGGGGGAAAAAAAAAGGCCAAGTGCAAGGTCCTGCACATGGGTCGGGGCAACCCCAAACACAAATATGGGCTGGGTGGAGAATGCATTAAAAGCAGCCCTGAGGAGAAGGACTTGGGGGTATTGGTTGATGAGAAGTTCAGCATGACCTGACAATGTGCACTGCCAGCCCAGAAAGCCAACTGGTCGAGGCCAGCAGGTCGAGGGAGGGGATTCTGCCCCCATACTCTGCTCTCGTGAGATCCCACCTGCAGTGCTGCGTCCAGCTGTGGAGCCCTCAATATCAGAAGGTTATAGACTGGTTGGAGCGAGTCCAGAGGAGGCCACGAAGATGCTCAGAGGGCTGGAGCCCCTCTGCTATGGGGACAGGCTGAGAGAGTTGGGCTTGTTCAGCCTGGAGAAGAGAAGGCTCTGGGGAGACCTTATAGCACCTTCCAGTACCTGAAGGGGCTACAAGGAAGCTGGGGGGGACTTTTTACAAGGGCCTGTAGTGACAGGACAAGGGGTAATGGGTTTAAATTGAAAGTGGGGAGGTTTAGATTGGATATCAGGAAGAAGTTCTTCACAGAGAGGGTGGTGAGGCACTGGAACAGGTTGCCCAGAGAAGCTGTGGATGCCCCATCCCTGGAAGTGTTCAAGGCCAGGCTGGGTGAGGCTTTGAGCAACCTGGTCTAGTGGAAGGTGTCCCTGCCCATGGCAGGGGGTTGGAACTAGATGGTCTTTAAGGTCCCTTCCAACCCAAACCATCCTGTGATTCTATGAAATAATTTGCTTTAAATTCTGTTTTTTCCCCCTCTGTCTGTTTCTTAGTAACTTTTAATTCTTTAGAGGCCCATCATATTGCATGATGTACAAAACAGGATAAGAGGACATTCCTGCGATAAAAGTTTTTAATTAATTATACACACACACAAATGTAAGGAGTGGAAATAAAGGATAAGAATTGCAGGTTATTAAATATTTATCTGAACAGTTTGGGGAAATGTGCAGGGGAATCAGCAAAAAACATAGGAAGCTGTTTTATAGGTGGCTTATGTGAATGGATTTCTTCATTAAACTGGGGAATGGCTTGTGCAAGATGTGTCAGTCCAGAGAATTTGAATGTTTTGTGGTCAGTCATTGGAATGACAGCAGCCTACTCGCTTTACTGGAGTCTAAAAGAGGTAACAACCTTAACTGTTTCTGAATACTGGTGAAGTCTTCATTATTTAGAATACAGTGAATAATTAAATCACCCACTTGGTAATTACAGGCACTGAAAACAGACCTAGGTAGAAACACTTCTTAATATTTCTTCTTGACAGTGACTTTTTCTTGGCTTGGCATGCAGTCCTTTTTTCAGATCTTTGTGAACTGAATATCAATTTGTAATTTCTAACTGGCTTTGTTCAAGGGAATAAAATGTTACATTTCAATCCAACCTTTTGCATTTTAAATTTGATAAAGCTTTTTAAAAAAATATTTCAGATTAGATGTCATTGAAAATACTGAATTGGAATTTTACAGCTTTGAAACCCTACCTTTTTTTTTTTTTTTTGGTGTGACAGCTTGGCTAAAGAGGTCTGGAGAACCCCTTGTTTTTAAAATGCAAAGCAAATTATAGCCTTTTTGTCAAAACTTGATGTCCGTAACTGAAGAGACTGAAAGACTTCTCTCAGAAGAAACTGCAGTATATTTAGTCAGTGTCAATAAATTCTGCAGCAACTTCAGGCACAGCTAATAGTATTTCCTTTTTGCCTGTATGCTTCACTGACCTGCCCTTTTTGTTATTTGCCTTCTTGTTCTTACAGGTAAGAGGCGTTAACTTTGAAGCGGTTTTAAGGGTAGAAGAAGATGAAGCCAACTCCAAAAGAAATGCTTCAAAACGAGAAGTAGAGGATGATTTAGGTCTTAGTATGCTTATTGACTCCCAGAACAATCAGTATATCCTTACCAAACCCAGGGATTCAACCATTCCTCGTGCCGATCATCACTTCATAAAGGTAATAATTTTAGAGACATTTTGGCATTTGTTTTAGTAAGATGTAGTCCCACTAGGCTGCATGCCAGTACTGCTTGATTGGATTTAATATAGTTTCAGCATCTGTCCCTCTAAAATCACCCTAGCATTCATGATTCCCCCATCAACTGGTGATCTGGCCAACGTGTTCCCTACTCTTCGGACAGCCTTCACAAGACCAATCGCAATGCCGTGTGAATCTTCTCTGGTTTTATTTGGTTTAACTTGTTGCACCTTTGGGGCAGTATCCGTTCTCTGACTGCACAGAGTTAAAGCAAGGTACTGCTGCGCCTGATAAGCTACTTGCATATTGTCGCTAGAGAGAATATCTGTGTGTGTGTTGATGAAAAAAGCGATTCTGGAAAATACAGACATGTTCTGAACTGTATTTGTGCTTCATGAAGAATAACTGGATTGAGACTTTTTTTAAATAAAACCAGAATGGATCTGTTTCACTGTTTTGTTTTAATGCAAGGTGTCATTCCTCCCACAATCCCCCTGGAAACTGTCTACTTCCTATAATGTATTTAAAATACTTAATAAATTGATCAAAAGTCCTTAAAGCTACCAATTACTTAAGGCCAGTACCTCATCTGTAAAACTGCAGTGCTTACACCTACAACAAAGTGTTCAGGTTAGTTTTCTGAGGTTGGGTTTTCTTTCCCACAGGCAGTATTCTACACTTAATTTTACAGTGCTGTTTATCTTCTGACAGATAATAGTCTTTAATCGCAAATTTGTGTGTCCTTTACATTAATACACTTGTAAATCTCATATGTTTAGGATATTGTGACAATAGGAATGTTGTCTTTGCCATGTGGCTGGCTGTGCACGACAATAGGGTTGCCAACCATGTTTGGGTATATCATCTGTGGAGTGCTCTTAGGACCATCAGGACTAAATAGTATCAAGGTAAGCGTGAAAGTTGCTTCTCGAGTGATTTTAATTTACTCAAGTCTTTTAAAAGCAGCTTTAAAAGAATATGATATTGTCAACCTCAAAAGTATATAAAAACGCAAAATCCCCAAATTTGGACCTTTGCAAAACGAGGCCCTGAAATTTTATGTCTTTGACTCACTTAGTTTTCAGGGTTTTTTCTCCTATCAAATCATGACATAAGCAATTGTTCAGAGTTAAAGCTGAAGGTTCTCTTGTGGGTTTTTTGTTTGTTTCTTTCTTTCTGTCCTTCTAATTGTAAAGCATCATGTCTTCAGAAACTTGCGGAAGTCAGTGTTGGCAGTGGAGGAAACACTTATAACAAGTAGTTCCCTGACTTGCATAGCTTGGCTTCCTAGAGTTATTTTGCATCTCTGTAGCTCTTTCATCCATCCTTCCCACCCTAGTTCTTTCCCAGGCCCTTGCCCACATTCCTGAAGTCTCTTGAACCCTTCTACCTCCACCACGTGTAGCCTTATTACTAGCTCAGTGCGAAACCGTGGGCTGTGGTTGGCTAGATGTCACACATGTTTTGATTAGTGGTCTGGTGTGCATTAACAGATTGTTTAGCCAGCAGGCAAAACGGAACACGCATTAAGGTTGCACGGTAATGTCAGCTGTTACACGTGTCTATTGTGTCAACAACCACGTAACTGCTTGGAACTTACTGTCTTTGCAACCTCTGCTCTTAATGTGGACTTCTGTTGAAAATGACTGTTGGGCTCAAAAGTGTAAGTAGAGATGAATAGAAATTGTGGGATATTGTCAGCCTCTTCTTGGAAGAGAAGGCTAGAAATACTACACTTTCAAAATTTCATGTTCTAAAATTGAGTTTAAATAGTAACCTTTGTGTCACAGATAACTTACAGGTTGAGAAGGTCTGGGAAACTTGACTACTTAGACTGAGAAGCAAGTTTGTAAGCTTGGCATTGGAAGGAGAATCAACAATGAATTTTCAGAGACATGCACTGAGGAAGATGATGTGGTCAGAACAGAGACGAGGGAGGTCTTTTTAGGACAGTTTCTTAGTGAGCTGCCTGTTTCTTGTGGAGCTATGATTATTTATGCAGATAATGTTAACTAGGTCTCGTACGTGCTCTCTCCTTCTGTCTCTTCTGTATTTCATAATAAAGTTGAATGTTGGAGGAACTGAGGCAGCAGGAAGGTTCGAAGCTGGCAGGGAAGGTAGTTTCCCTCTCTGCTTCTCTACGACTGATGATAGACCCTGTCCTCTTCTGCTCTGGACTGTAAATACATAGAAGAGAAACGTTAGGTTTTTTCTTTTGTGATAAGGGAGACAACTACTTTTTTTGCTGGTGCACCCTTCTCTCTGAAGGGTAGTTGTACTGGTCTGAGATGGATGCACAGAGTTTGTAGGATGGAGAGCAGAACAGCAACTGCAGTGTAGCAGAATGATTATACCAATAGGCCAATGAAATAACTAGCCATAAGCAACTTCTGGAATGCCAGCCACGGGGGTTTAATAGCATACACATAAACCATAACCTATTTATTTTCATCAGGCAAGCTTACCTAGATCAACACACACATGCATTTTGGGTGACCAGCACTATCCAACCAAACTGTCTAGTGTCAGCCAGGTGACAGGAAAAATGTTGGACCCTGAAGATGGTGAGGGAACTTGTGATGTCATGTAACCAGCAAGTGAGCTACCTATGGAAGTGTAATGAGAAACAATTTGTTTTGTAAGTGGACTTGTAGTTTGTATTCTAAGCAGACTGCTGTGCACTGATTTTTTTTTTTTTTTTAAGTCTATTGTACAGGTGGAGACGTTGGGAGAGTTTGGTGTATTCTTCACTCTTTTTCTAGTGGGTCTGGAATTTTCTCCTGAAAGATTAAGAAAGGTATTTTTGTATAATACATGCACATTACAGGACTTAATTGCTAATGTTCAAGTTATCTGTTCTGTTTGGGTTTTCACATTCTCTCTTATAATATGCTGGTGAAACTTTGTAGATTTTTTTTTAAAAGACAAATAGGACATTTGCTGCTTCAACTCTCTGGAAAGAACAGAATGCTTTATTTATTTGGTGTCTTCAAAAAGACAACTTTGCTATTCCTCTTCATTTTAGTGAAACAGTTTGATTACTACAAGACTCTCCCAGAATTTATGGCAATCCATCTCTGCTTTATTGTAACGTGCAGTTGCTGTTACTGCGTGTCCAGTGATGTTTGCCAGTCCTGTGTTATTAAAAAAAAAAAAAAATTAATCAGTTTAAGTACTGCATACTGGATTGATGATACATGCTGTACTGGCTAATAAACTGATTCTACAAGTATGTTAGCACAATCTGGAATATTACATCAAGTTTCAGCAAAAAGGTACAAGCTTTTTTGGTCTTTATTAAAAAAAAAAAATCTCATAAGCCAGCTAGAATTTTAATAGTGGAAAATACTGCTGCAAAATATGTAAGGACTGTATGTATGTCAACAGTTGCATTGTGTGATTTGTTCTTAAACTGATGGTTGTGAGTTCGTAAGACTACAAAAGCTTTAGTTGAAATGTGTTAAAATTTATGAGCATTCATCTTTATAAACGACTATTTTTAGTCCATCTAAAGTAAAAGATAAAAATTCAAGGGTTTCTAAACCGTAGTATGCAAATTGTTACTTCAGAACTGTGTGCACACTGGTGTGGAGTGGGCTGCTGGTGCTGACGATGGTCTTTGCCACTCCTTTCTTTTCCCCCACCCTGGAATCACATCAAGTAACTGGTCTTCCATTTGATGATTTTAATGTATTTCAACCCATTCTGGATGTTTGGCCCTTCATTTGTCTGAGCTCTGGGAAATGTACCTAATTCCTGGTAATGAGCCTTCTGGCACAGTATATTACCTACTAGGTATAGTAACATCAGAGTTTTTTCAAGTATAGGATGACAGCCTGTTACTTCTGTGGCCCAGCCCCAAATCAGGCATCCTTTAACTGCTTATTTGTACTGAAAAACATTGTAATTTATCGGTGAGAAAGGTGCCATCAGACTTTATCATGAGAACATGTTTTCTCCCCAAGGTATGGAAGATATCTTTGCAAGGACCCTGCTACATGACAATTCTGATGATTGCCTTTGGTTTACTATGGGGACACTTGCTGCAAATTAGACCAACGCAGAGTGTCTTCATTTCCACATGTTTATCTTTATCGAGCACGCCGTTGGTGTCGAGATTTCTTGCAGGTAGTGTTCGAGGAGATAAAGAAGGTAAGTATGATTTTAAATACGGTTTACTGTAGCATCTACAATAAAATTTGAAAGATGTTGACTTTGTAATATTAGGAGAGAAACTAGTTTAAAAAAACTGAAATAAAACAAAACAGAAAGCACTGTTAAGTCTGGTTTACAGGCAACCATCCTCCTGTAACACTGGCCAGGGTTGTGTATATTCTTGTTAAGAGGTGTGCCTGCTATTTACATAGCCAGTCCTCTTCAGAGAAAGACACCGTCACCTCATCAGTACTCTCCATGATAAGAATTGACTTTACTGAAGGACTGCGATCTTGCTGCTTTTTAAGACGTTACCAGGTTAGACCTGGTTTGTCACAATTCCTGCCAGTTTGTCACCAGGGCAGAAAGCCTAACTTAAATAATTCACATCCTCCTTCAGCAAACTAAGACCAGCTCATGTAGTCTTTTGTAGCTAACAGCCCTTCAAATAAGTACTTTCCAGTGCCATGTTGCTAGCTTCTCAGGGACATGTTTCCTTTCAAAAGTTTTGCCATTTGGCTTTCTTCCACTTACACTTCCCTCATAGGTACTGCATTAAAGTTTTCCTCACCCCCTCAAATATTCATATTCCAACGTCTAAATTCAGAGTGTGTATTTTACACACACTGGCTCGTGTCAGTTATTCCAAAGACTATATGCCTTCAGTAAAAGGAGCCAGTAAACGCGTAACTAGTGCTTAACTGCTAAGTAAAGTCTGTATTTCTGTTGTGTAACAAGTTGCATATGAATATTTTATTTTTATTTTTAAGATATCTTTATTTATATAGCTTAATTTACTTGGGCAGGGGTGGGGGGGGGGAACCAGAATGCTTTGTATGACCTCATCCCATTGAGAACTACACTTAGCCGCCACTCGATTAAGACATTCCTAGATTTCTCAGCGCGGCAAGCATTCATAGATTCTGATGGACGTTTCCACGGCTGCTTTGTTGGTGCACAGGGGATATTGACTACAGCAGCGTACTACTTGGCATGTTGGTGATGCAGGATGTGCAGCTGGGTTTATTTATAGCTGTCATGCCTACACTTATTCAAGCAGGAGTAAGCACGTATTCCAGGTAAAAAAAAAAAATATATATTCTACGTATCTTCCTTCCACCCCCTTCCAATCAGTATGTAGATAGCAACTATGAATACGAGAGCGCTACGTATTATTGTCAGCGCTGTGAAAAACGGGCGCTCTGTTCCGAGTCCCCTTTACTACTTGTACTTGCCATGTTGTATGAGGACATTCTTTCTGCTCTAGCTGCCACAGCCTTGTCCAGTACTTAAAATCTGTAGTGAAAAGTTTGTCATTGTACAAAATAGATTGGTTTCTTCACTTATTTGATTCCTTCAAGACATGTTTTTGTCAAAGACTATGCGATGGTGTTACTGAGCCTTGAAGATCAATCACAAAAATCCTTTTGAATCGACATGGAAGTAAATTCTGGGCTGTAAAAGAGAGCGCTGGGCACGCAGCAGATTGGGCATTCAGCTTATTTGCTGTTGTATCTAAATATCTTACTGTAGCTACTCCCTTTTGAACGCCTGTGGAATTAGATCTTGTTGCTTAAGGGGAATGGGTTGGGAGGCATGAGAGCGCTTGAAAGAAATGTTTTGTTTGTTCTTCTCTTCCAGCATTTTCAAGGAAATACTGAGAATACTGATACTGATTGGCCAAATTCTCTTCTCTCTGGCTGCTGTTTTTCTTCTATGTCTTGTTATAAAGACTTATCTCATAGGACCGTATTACCGGAAGCTGCATGCAGAAAGCAAAGGGAATAAAGAAATCCTCATTCTAGGAATTACTGCATTCATCTTCCTTATGTTAACGGTAATCTTTTAAATTAATTGAACGTTTTGATCCATGTGGTAGTTTACTGCATCGGTATCACGAAAGCCATCGCACCTCCTGTTATTGCATATCCTGGTTCCTCAGTAGTTAATTATTTGGTTTTAAACTGTTTTATTAAAAAACCCCACATGCACAGATGATTGATGCATTACCGCACGGACGAGTAAGAACAGATAAAATGTGAATGTCGGTCAGCTGAACTTTTGCTGGTAACTTTTAATACAGCCAGTTCAAGAGTGATGATCCCACTTGTAATTTTGGGCTACTTTGAAAATAATTTAGGATGGATTTTGAGATATTGATAATGGCCGATTGTGACGTTTGCTCACAAGTTTCTTTTCAATGGCGAATTCTCAGCCTGGCTTTTATTATAAAATACTTTTTCTGTGGGTGATAAGCAGTTTGAGATGAAGCTGAATGCCTTCAGGTTTTGATATGCCTTTTGGGTTTGGTTCATTTTCCTCTGAATCTTCTTCTGTTTGTTTCTATCTCACGTTTCAGCCCTCTGAAAAACTGTTCTGCTGGAGAACAGAATGTGACAGTCGCTGATAATGTTGTGGGTTTGAAACTCCATTATCCTGGATGTGCAGATTCTTGTGTCCTCTGAGAATTCCTGAGAAAAATTATCCCCAAAAGTTCCTGTGCATGCGCCTTTTTTTCCATCATCCCCCTCCCCTCCTCCCCCCACCGGGGTTTTTGCTTAGTTATTACAGGTTCAACAGAGAAAGGTGACCTCCTTCAGGAAGAAGGTCAAAAAAGACATGAGAGCACAGCTTTACCTTGTGTTGATTTCAGTTTGTATAGGTTAAAAATGCATCGCTCTAAACAGTTATTCATACTCAAGCAGGGCTGACCTCTAGTAAGAGAAGGAATAAATTGAGTTTCTCCCTTTTACTTTCTAACAAGCAGACACGTTTGTAGCGTAACTTTAATAAAAACCAACAACCAAACCACAAAAGTTGCATAAAATATTACAGTATTTAGAAGGAGTCTTACTTTCAGTAAACCTGTGGCCTGCGTAGGCTGCTCTGATTGAATTGGGTGTATTGTGCCCAAATCACGTATCACTCGTACAAGGAGTTTGTTGACACGGCTTTACATAATATATGTGTGCGTGCAAACCTGAGGGAGGGTGTATTTGAGTGTGTTGGATTCACACTGCACAAACAGAATGCTTCTTCAGCCAGGCAGGCGTTTGTGAAGGCAGCAAATATTTTGTGTATTTAAGTGAAAGCAGTTTTACTTTTAAAGTTACATCTCAAAGGGAGCAGTACAAAGGATACTGCCTGTCACCTCAGTAACCCAGATGTATGATACTCACTGGCACTGATACGCTCATTCTAGTAATACTGCAAGTTGTGGTTTGAGCACAAAGACCCATAAAAAACAATAATGGGGAAAAAAAACTTCTACAAAATAAAAAAGCATTTGTTGTTCTGTTGAACAGTTAAACAGACAAACCTTCTGGACAACAAATCTTAGTTGGTAGAGATGCCCTTCTATAAGGGCAGAAATAAAAAGATATGATGAGGGAGGGCAATCTAAATTGAAGAAATGTTGCACGGGTTTGGAAAGGGTAAATTCGGGGGTTTGAGTGCCAGGTAGGAAAAAACCCGATTAAACTGTCATGGGTTCTGCAAAGATCTTTCTCCTTTGAAAACAAAGTCTAAATATTAATGAAATCTGTATAAGTGTCTGCAAACATGGAAATTTTTCCTCACTGGTGTAATTTTCAAAAAGCTTCTGAATTCGTAAAGTGAGGAACAGGAGAGTGCATATTTTAGTGGCCTCAACCAACGATGACTCTGTGGCTCCAGTTGGAAAACTTGAGAGACATTTTTAAACAAAATATTTTAACTGTCTAGCACGTGAGTTATTCTGCAGGCTACATCCTTTCCAATACATTACAAAGGGGGTAGGAATGACACAGTATTCCTGCTTCATGCATAGTTACTTGTTATGGGCTTCACTGTTGCCTGGATTGCTGGGTTTGTCCTGTGCTGGGGTTCATCTGTAATAGCAGCACGTGTAATGCACGTTATATATAAACTTATTTTGCTGTTTGTATTTACTATTTGAAAATCTCAGATGACTAATTAAAAAAAGAATTGCTGTTTCTTTACCAGTAAGAGCAAATTCTATATGGGAAAGCAAGAGGAAGGATAGCACAGAAGAGGTTCCTCTATCACAGCGTGAGTAAGAAATTTTGATGTAAGGATTGCCCTGTCAGGTGAGGAACTTCCTGTATGGAAGTGACTTCTTTGAGCATTTCTGAACTGCTTGGCTCACTTGGAAAACATTGCAACTCATTAAATCTAAACCAAGATCTTAAACACATCTCTTCTTGATAAACTAACACAGAGTAGAAGAGATACAACAGATCTCAAATGTGAGATATTTATTTACCAAGGTTTGGAGCATAAGATACTTTTTTCTTTTTTTTTTTCTTTTTTTTGTTCCGAGATATTCTCAGAAGTAACTGAAATTTCCCTTCCGTTTTTCCCCTCAGTTGGTTACGCAGATCAGGGTGGGGGTTATTGTGTCAATGCCAATCCTATAAAAGTCTAGCTGACTTTGAGACACAGTTATGCAACTTTCCGTCATGTACCTTGTCATCAGTAACACCAGTTCAGGAGATCATTATTGTGCTTTCAGCAGCTCCTTTTCAAGCTTTGACTTAAAAAAAAAAAAAGGGCAGTATGTGTATAAGATTGGAAAACCGTTCTCCTGAATCATTACATAAAGAGCAAATTAACATATGATATTAAATATGACTATTTAGGATTGATGGGCAAACTGATACTTTCAGGTCAGGATATATACCACAGTGAGATGAAGTTATGTTATACATCAGCCAGAGTTTTTCATGGGGGTGGTGGTGTTTTTTTCATGTTCTGTATGTACAGAAACATTATAAGGAAAAATGGTTTAAACACTGTCCTGATAATGAATTGCTGTATTAGGTGTCTGCAGGACAACAGTGGTCAGTTGTTAAGTTTTGAAGCTAAGCAGCTGAATGTTACTAAGGGGGTGGGGGGGAAATAAAGCCTGACCTCACAAGGACAGCAGTTAGATTTACATGTTTATAGGACTGTGTGTGTAGATGAGGGCAGAGGGGGAGGGAGAAGAGGGGCTTCCAGTTTGACTGCACTATGGTTGACCTGGGGTGGTGGCAACAAATGGAGGGAAATTGCCAGCTTGCTTTACATACCAAAAAGATTCAGCCTGGAGAAGAGAAGGCTCCGGGGAGACCTTATAGCACCTTCCAGTACCTGAAGGGGCTACAAGGATGCTGGGGGGGACTTTTTACAAGGGTCTGTAGTGACAGGACAAGGGGTAATGGGTTTAAATTGAAAGTGGGGAGGTTTAGATTGGATATCAGGAAGAAGTTCTTCACGGGGAGGGTGGTGAGGCACTGGAACAGGTTGCCCAGAGAAGCTGTGGATGCCCCATCCCTGGGAGTGTTCAGGGCCAGGCTGGCTGAGGCGTTGAGCCCCCTGGTCTAGTGGAAGGTGTCCCTGCCCATGGCAGAGGGGTTGGAACTGGATGATCTTTAAGGTCCCTTCCAACCCAAACCATTCTGTGATTTTATGATTCTATGAAGATGAAAAGGAAATACAGCAGTTATTGCCGTACTTTCTATATGAAAATGTACATACTTTTTTTCCTGCAGTGTATTAGAAATGTCGTTCCTTGTTTGCCTGGAGTGCTTCTCAACGGCTCATAACCTGCTTACGAAGTCTTTTCTATCAATTAATAGGAGAAGATTAAGGAAGAACTGTATTTTATTAAATAATTAGCTAGAGTATTTGAGATTAAAAAAAGTTGAGATAGAGTTTTTACAAAGCTTGCTAAAAATTGTTTCCATTTCCATTAAAGCTTTATGTCCTTAAAATGTAAGCTTAGAATTTACCTCTTTACTCCTGGGCAGATTTAAGTTATTAAAGCCTGAAACACTAAACCATTTATTTTCATTGGGGATTTCTTTAATTTTACTGTCTTACCCTATTCATTAAGCTTCTATGATGATTAAAGAGTAGCAATAAGATACACATTATTAAAGAATATAAGCAAAACAACTGCTGAACAAATGATTGAAATTCAGCTGGAACATCTTATAGCAGTAAAGTTTTTCTTTTATTTATTGTTATGATAGAACATTTGAACATAAAAATCCAATATTCTAGTGACAGCAAAGCAACCCTCTCTGAATCTGAGTAAAATGGGGACCTTTTGAAAGCAACCGAAAACTAAATTGTGCAGGGAAAACATGTAAATTGACAAAACTCATCATTTAGTTTAGACTGAAAAAGCTTTCTGTAATGTAGGAGTTGAGAAGAGGAGAGTGCAGAGCCCAGGGATTAGTAATTGTTAGAGCCTGGTTTGGTAAAGGCAAAAAATTAAAAACTATGGAAGCAGGTAGGGAATACTGGATGCAAAATACTTTCCAAGTTTTGCTTATATACGAAATTTTGCTGTGAATGTCGTCTTGCTGGTAAAACAAACCCTCTCAGTGTGTGTGTGTGCGTGCGCGCGTGTGCATTATACAGGATAAACTCTGATGCTACCGATTTAATTGAGGAAGTGTATCCACTTATTGGTAATATTACTGGACAACCGTAGACCAGGATGGAAACAGGGAGCGGAATCGCTCTATAAATCGAGATATAAAAAGAGGAACAGACTGGAGGAGGGGGAGGATGGGGTCAAGGAAATAACATATCCTTTGGTTATTTTCTTGCCCTGTCACCTGCTTCACACTTTTCTGCACGTAGAGTGCCCTATGGGTTTTGTAGACCTGAAGTTGTGTCATGCCTAGAGAGTAGACAAGCAATAGCAAAATTTGCCTCTTTATCTACCAGGCCCTGGAGCTCACACTGATCTTGCCAGAGAGTGAAGGAATGAAATTCAGTTTTTATGTGGTGGGAGCAGACCCAGGTGGACACACCATTTGCTGCAGTTGTCTGATGCTTCCTCAACAAGCATGTTTCTTTCACGCTTAAATTGCTCCTTGCTTGAATAGTGGTTCTCATAACAGCACAGTGTCATGCAGTTCCAGTACAAGAGAGGCTAAATCCCCTAACCATGGTAACCTAACCGCGTACATGGGAATACTTAAAATAGTAGCTATAAAAGTTTTGATCTGGAGCTCTGCTGCAGCTGATAACACTTAAGTGTTGGGGGATTATAGCTGAACAGTAAAATAATTCTAACTTTATTTGAAGTTATATTGGATCTTAATCGTACTCAAGAGGTGACTTTCAAAACAACTTACATGTGATTGAGAACTTAAATGTTTCTTCTTCGTAGCCGTTTTCCTTTCTCTGTGATGAAGAAGCCTTTTATATAAATTTCCTTCTTTCCTCTTAGGCTTTTGAATTGTGGTAAAAAGCACTGAAATTCCTTTTGTTTTAAAACGAGCGTAACATTGTACTGCTGTTTTGTTGGTTTTGCGGGATCAACAACCATTTGCATTAGTTGACAAAACCAGTTAGTTTTCTGAAATGCCTTGCAGAGCATTACAGACTGTTAGCACAAACGGCGTTGTGTGATGAGCATTCAGACATTGATACTTCAACACACAGAAGTTGGGTTTATTTTTAGGTGGCATTTTAGGCATAGCTTGGAGACTGGTTTATTGTGCCTTTTGCTCTCCTCCATTAATTTCAACTCACTGGAGTTTTAGCTTCATACCTTACAGTGTAACCCCGCTCAAGATATGATGAATGTTGTCTGTGAATGTACTATAGTGTGTTGTGGCTTAATCTAAATTAGTATGGGAATAAGTCTTGCGTTTTAAATGCTCTATTAATATTAATAGCATTGTCCTTTCTCAGTGAGGTGATTGTCTGCAGCAGCATGGTTTGAAATTAATTCTTTTAAAATATACTTTATACCGACTAAAAGTGCTGCTTGCTTATTTTTTACTGCTCCCAGCATTGACTTACGCAGTTTCTTTGGTTTTGGTTCAGTCTCTTCACATGCGTTTCACCTCTTTCTTCTAGAACTGTATTCAGATAATAAAAAAGAATGAAGACCAGTCTGAATCTTTCAAACAGATACTGTGCTTCATTCCAGCAGTTTTACTTCACATGCTGAAATGCATCCCTCTTCGGTAAAGCACACAGGCACATTGAAGTCCAATGTACAATAATAAAACTTAATTTATGCCTGGGACTTCTGCTAAATTGAGACTATTCTCCCAAATTATAAGATTGGATTTTTAATTTTTTCCACTTGTTTGACAGCTGGAAAATATGCTGTCCTTACTGTTTTATTTCACAGCCTTGCTGTATTACGCAATCCTGACTGTGAAGCTGTTAGAGTCTGTCTCAGTTTTTGTGAAATCAGATGCCATCCTGAAGAGCGACAGAAAGCGTTACAATGTACATTAAGAATTTATTGGGTTTTTTTGTGGTGAGGAAGGTAACATGGAGGGGAGACTGGTTTTGTGAACATTTGGTATAAATGCTGTACTGCAGAACACTGAAATAAATATGCTGAATTCTATTTGTTGCTGAACTTGTATAAAGGCGTAGTAATTTACCCCATTCAGTATAACGTGTGGTTTTACGACTGCACTGTGAAATGGTATGTAAAGTTACTCCGGGCTAGAGAACAGAAACAGATATTTCTGTTATTCCTTGACAGATCACAGAGCTGTTGGATGTTTCGATGGAGCTGGGATGCTTCTTAGCTGGAGCTCTGATCTCTTCTCAGGGTCACATGGTTACTGAGGAGATTATGTCCTGTATTGAACCAATACGTGACTTTCTTGCCATCGTTTTCTTTGCATCCATAGGTAACTTCGAAGAAAATTTACTTTGCAAACAGTATTAACCTACAAATGTGGGGGAGGATGAAATAAATGTCTACAAACTGGGGGAGGAGGTAGATATTTGGTTTGTTTTTTGCTTAAAATACTAATATGTTGACTGACCACAATATTAGTTTGACACTGGTAGTATTTTAAAAGGTAACATCAGCTTTCATAAGCAATTTCCATGTTGTATTCTCAATTTTTGTTTTAATGGCAGTTTTTATTGTTAATTCTGAATTTATAAGGGCTATTTAAAACACGTAACGAAAAATTTCAAGGTACAAAGATGGGGTTTTTTAATGTTCTTCTGTCTTCACAGTTGATATATTTGTACATTATACTAAAATAACGTTACTATTTTGAGCCATTCGGTAGAGTAGATTTAAGGTCCTTACGGCTTGGTTTTATCTAGAAGCTGAACATGATAATGGAAACATCTTCTTTTATTTTTAATAGCATCTTGTTCCTTTAGTTAGGAAAACATGATCTGTTGGTTCTCAACACAGGGGAAAAATAATTGAACAAGATATATCTCAGACATGACCTGAATGCCAACTGAAATGCAGCATTGATGCCTAAGACCAGGAGAGTAACTCATGCTTGTTATCCAGTACGTGTTAAGTCTAAGAAAATTTACAGTCTGTCAGTAGCTTCATTTTGAACTGCTACGTTCCCTTGCTGGCAGTGCATCCCCCAGTAAGCTTCCTCTACAGGAAATGGAAACACGCTACTCAAGTGCTTAGTACAGTGGGGACAGGCCCTATGATAGCACTTGCCTCCCCCCGTGGGTTGTATAGGAGATGCATGCCCTGTTTTGGGGGCACTGCAAGGTCTAAAATGTCGCCCTTTGCACAAATCCAACCTACTTTAGTCCATGCTTATTCACTGATTCTTGGGGTTTGGTGGTGTGTGAGGGATTTTTTGGTGGTGGTTTTCCCTCCCACCCAAGACCATAATTGATTCTTTTTTTCATCTGGTTTTATTTCAAGTTTCCTACTGTTCTTTTTATCTCCATATATTTATTCTGATAATAGTGAAGTCCCATCATCAACATCATTTTAATGCCTTTCCTTATATACCTGTTTGTTACCCATTATTTCATAACAGAAATTAAACTTTCTGGTGGTTGTCAAAATAAAAAGGAAATACTTATGCTTGCCAGTCTTGACTTCTGTCTTACCCAGCCCACGATACTAGCTTGTGCTGATCAGATTGCATAGTAATAGATAGGTTTATTTGAATAGCTTACTTTAATAAAAGGGCGGGGAAGTGGTGAGCTATGGCAAAACTCTTAGGCCCATATCATTTACAAGGTTGGACAAGTAATTGCTAAATGCTCATGGGTAAGTCGTTTATGTGTTTACTAAAAGATGGTGATGGAGCGCATAGTGTTATCAGGGTTACAAAGCAGGACAAGTAACTATAAGCCCCAAGTTAATTTTACAAGGGACTGAACAAAAATACTGTCCTAGACTCTTGTGACTATGAAAATTCAGACCAGAGATAAGACTTTGGTACAGTACAAGAAAATAGCAAGGCCTCAGTTGGCATGCTGGCAGCACTCCCCATAGCGTACGTTATACTGTAAGGAAATAATTGTGGTAGTTCTTTTACAGAATTAAAAAAAAAAAAAATCTTTTTAACTGTCGTTACCACTATAATTGCAAGAACAGAAGAAAAGAAAATTGCCTAAGAAGTTTATATGGTTGTACGGAAAATGGGTGTTATTTCTGCCTCAGAAGTAGTCAGCTAAAAATGGGAAAAATGAGCTATGTTATAGGCCTCTGACAAAATGTGACGATGCTTGCTTGTAAAAAAGCAAACAAACAAAAACAACCCAAAAAAACCTGCCAAAAAAACCCAAACAAAAAAACCTCCCCCCCAAAAATAAACATTATCCACCCCTTCCCCCTTTGTTTTCAAATTTTGTGGTTAACAGGAAGCTGGAGGGGGCAAGGAGGTTATTTTTTAAAGAGGAGTAATGTGATGTTGCAAAGAAAACCTGAGTAGGACAAGCAGTATTCCTCAAACTTCTTAAAAAGGAATCTAGCAAGAAAAGACTTGCTTGCTACTTACATATGTGCACATGGAAATGGTGTGTGTCTGTAAACATACAGACTTTTACTATGTGAAATTATGAAAAGGCCACAGGAAAACATTCTCACCCCGAGGGAAGGCTTGTTGCCTTGAGATCCTGCGGCGGGTTGGTACACCACTGCAGTAATGTAATTCCTATTCCTTTTAGAATAAAGGAACAGTTTGACTTAATTGAAAAGTGACTGTAAATATGTCATTTGGAAAACTCAGTTTCTATTTTGCTTGTCTCAAATGCCTGCTTTTCTGTTTTCACTACAGAAATCCTTCTGGTGCATGAAAGCTGAGCTGGACAGTACTTGTTCATGTAATATCTGTAACAGTGGTCCTGCCCTTAGCTTGACCTGTGCCATGCTACTGCTTTCAAATTCGCGCATGGGTGCGTTTGTGGGAATCATACACCTTTGCCGTTAGGCATTAACAGCTGCACTTTGAGTTACCCTCCATCCGTGCATCCGTTTAGGCCTCTCTGTTCTTTGTTCTCATGCTATCTGCTGAGGTTAGAAAGTTCCTGGTAGGCTCTGTCCTCACTAGTAGTTTTGAGAGAACATCTGGACCAATCCCTTAGAGCCACATTACTTTCTGTTTTCTATTCTGGTACCTAGTACTTGGATACCCAGTACCCTTTCCACCTCTGCATCATTTGATTTCTTTTGACTGCTTTTTAGAAAGATGGAAGGCATCTTTTCATAGATCGTTTGACTTCTTTTAAAAGGCTCAAAAAATACTGGTTTTTGTCAGTCTACAAGGTGTATGGGAGTTTGAAATTGGGCATCAGGACCCTATTTGCTATTGGTGAGGAGGCAGATTACTTCCACTGACTCAGTTGTGTCCCCTCAATGTGCTGTACAGATGTACTCACTTGCCAGACCCTGTGTTTCCCTTCGGGGTAAGACCTGTGGTTAGCGTTGGACCTGGAATGCAAGACACTGAAAACCCTTTAACGGTGTAGTTGTTCGCTTCAGAAGGCGGGTGATGGTGACACTGTCAGCACTGTCACTGTCCAGAACAAACGCACACACAAATGTTTCTCTCATGACCACCTTAACATTTCTGTTGAATTTGAGAGAAATCAAAGGAAGATCCCAACTGGAAGTCTTGACATGAGTTATATGAGAAGAGGAGGCTGAGAGGAGACCGTAGCACTGCCTACAACTACCTGAAAGGAGGTTGTGGAGAAGTGGGTGTTGGTCTCGTCTCCCTAATGACAGATGATCGGATGAGGGGGAATGGACTCAAGCTGCGCCAGGGGAGGTTTAGATTGGATGTAAGGAAGAGGTTCTTCACCGAAAGGGTTATCACGCACTGGAACAGGCTGCCCAGGGAGGTGGTGGAGTCACCATCCCTGGATGTGTTTAAGAGACGGGTGGATGAGGTGCTGAGAGATAGGGTTTAGTGGTGGACAGATATGGTTGGACTGGATGATCTCTAAGGTCTTTTCCAACCTAGTGATTCTATGATTCTATGATATCGCCTTCTCCTTATCCATCCAGCTCTACTGGTTTGTTGTCCTGTGTGGAACAACACAGTGAATCTTGGAGGTTATAGGCTCTCAGAAGAGACATGAGAATCAAAAGGACTTTCCCCTTTGCAGAAAGATGGAAACGAACGTTGGCTTTCCCCTCTGCTACTTAATGGTCTAGCCAGGGCGGTAGCACGTACTGCATTTGCTACCTGTGACCTTGGGTTCATTAAGACTCTCAAGAGAATACAGTGTCCCAATGCATCACTAACAGGATTTTTCCGAGTGATGCCCTGTCTTGAGAATGTGTCAGAATTCATTCTACTGGCTGCAGTTTGACCAACAGAGCTCTGGTTCCTGTAATCTTGTTTGCCATCAAGAATCTCCAAGATTCCTTTTCTTGATGCTGGATCTTCCAGGATGTGGTCCTGACTGCATTTGGATCTTAATGTGCTGTTTAGTGGCCATCCCGCAGATTAGTGGAACAGGTCGAATCGGGGTGAGTCTGCCTGCTAAGAAAAAAGTACTTACCAAAAGAATGTGCAAAGCCTTGCCTGTAATGGTCCCTAAAAGAGCACGTACCCACTTGAACGAGTGAACTGTGCTTTTGGCTTGATGCTGATGCTAGGTCTCCTGTAGGCCAAGGCCTCCATTCCAGCTATTCCAGACCACTGCTTAGAACTGAAGTGGCTCTGTGAAAATGTACCTGCGTGATCTCCTAGCTACGGGGACAGCCCAACATGCCGCATGCTACAAGTCCATAGCGACTCCAGAGCTTAGCCATAAAGTCTGGTTAAAACCACCGGCATAAATGCCCATGTTGGTGCATTTTCTGTCTAGTAGTTAATCTTTCTGATCGTCTTCCTGTTGTCAGGAAGGCCTCCCGTGCTTCTCTAGCAGTCTGGGATGACTGGTGGCCTTATCCTAAGCTTGCATCTAGGGCTGGGGAAAGACTGTGTTATGACCATGAAATCCACCGTCAAGGGATTTATTTGCCCCCCACATGTGTCTGTGTGCTGGGATGTTTCACCGTTTCTCAGAATGGTGTATGGGACAGGTTATGGCTTGCTTCACCTTGCAGACACTTCACTCCACAGAATTAGTACAGAAATCTCTGGTAGTTTGTGCCTCAGCTGTGTTGCACATGGTAATCACCTTGATTGTCAGGTTGATGTCCAAATGAACTTCAGGCTGAAAAGGTACATCTGCCAGTAGGGATGAGAGCACTAGGCCCTATTTATATTTCCCCTGGAAATCTTAATTCCAGGTGTGGCAGAGTTGGCCTTCTTACCAAACACTGACATTGTTAGAGGCTGTGTTTCTCTAGTTGCTTTTTGCGTATATTCTGAGACCAGCCTGAAGGTGGGCAAGCAATATGAGACACAGAGAGAAAAAAAAAAAAAAAAGGCAACTACTTGCTGCTCCATACATGTGCACACCCATTTCTTTGTTTTCTTTTTTTGGTGTGGTGTTCTCTGTTCTGCCATTTCTCTCTTTATTCAGAGAACGGTTTAGGTTGGAAGGGACTTTTAAGGGTCGCCTAGTCCAACCCCCCTGCCATGGGTAGGGACACCCTCAACTCAGTCAGGTTGCTCAGAGCCCCATCCAGCCTGACCTTGAATGTTTCCAGGAATGGGGCATCTACCACCTCCCTGGGCAACCTGACTGTTCTGAGAGTCTTTTGTATTTGCACTTCAGTAGTTGGAAGGAAAATAAGAATAAAAGAGGATGTGTGCGTGCTGACTGGCTAGTACTTGCGTAAAAATCTGACGTACTCGAAGTACGTTTCCATCCACAATGGAATGTGCAAGTGGACAAAATATCGTGAGGTTACTGTAAGTAACTTCTCTAGCACACACATGGAGAGAAGATGACTCTTGGTTCTCTACAGTTCTTCTGGCTCCACAGCATTATGGGGCAGGGAAAATTAGTGAAAACTTATGTTAAAATAGGAAGTTAAAGCACTGATTTATGTGCCTCACGCTTTAGAAACCTAAATTTTTTTGTCTGTCACCAGAAATAATAGGGTTGGAGAACTGCCAACTACTATGGATTTATCGGGAACGCCACCACTATTGCGGTTCCTCTTTTTTAAAAGCTTTTATGAAAAAGGAATAAGCTTCCAAAGATACACAGTTGTTTGCCTGCACAAGTTCCTCATACGCTGGGAGGAAAAAAATGGACATGGTCAGCTGTGAGATTCTTCCTCAGTGACTCCACGGCTTCTCCAACAAATACTTCTTTTTCTTATGTTTAATATTAGCAGGAATTAATTTTGAATTTCTGTGCTCTTTATGGTTCTTTTTATCTTGCTTTATATCATTACTGAATAAAAATGACAAAAAAATTTGACAAAACCCCAAAAAACACCCCCAACCACAAAACCACCCCCCTCCCCCCCCGAAAAAAACCAAACCAAACAAACCCAACAAAAATAGCCCCAAAGCCAAAAAATACATCACAGCAATGGGCTTTTATATAATTCCTTAATTGTTAGACCATGCTCATGGGTTTATGACTTAGTACCTGATTCCAGTCTAAGTGACTTTTCCAGTTGGGTTGACTTTCAGTGTTTGGAAGTGAGGGTCATGGGTTCAAAGCAGTTACGTTTTTTGTGGTAGCTACAGTCTCTGCCAATGCGGAGTACCGTGGTTCTTCCCACAGTGACAGTCCGTTACCGTGTCATACAAAAAGGCTCAAGGGCTAGCAAAGCGTGCGTTGCAGCCACTCTGCAGAACAATGGAATTGTTTTCCGGCACTATATTTATAGCTTTCATTAGAGGTGTGTTTCGGTTCAGATTATGGATTGTTGGCTGTTGTGGAAGAGAGAAAACTTTATAAACGAAAGCACTCACCCATCAGTCATATACAGCTTAACTCAACGGGGAATATTGTTTGAGTTAAACCCCTTCAAAAGAAAAATGGTTGGATAATGCAGGAAGTGCTTTAGTGATCAAGCCGGTAGTGTTGGTAGGCGCGTTAGGGCTTTTTGTTTGGTTGTTTTTGAGAATGCAGTCTTGCATTTCAATCTGTTTTACCTCAGAAAATTACCGTAGTAAGATATTGGCCTTAAACTTTGAAATGTTGTTTTCTTTTCTCCTAGGACTCCATGTATAATATACGAACTCACAGTCTTACTATTCCTTACATTGTCCGTGGTCATCATGAAGGTATTTTCTTTTTCTCTTTTATATCTTTTAATAGTCTAAATAATCTTTGTGCTGCATGCCCTAATGAAAATTCTGTGCAAGAACTAAACATCTGATAGATCAGAGAATATTACATCCTTCCTGTAAACCGGTATTGGGAGGAATCTTACTGACCAAAATACAGCTTGATAGAACATTCTTCAGATATTAAAAAAAAATTGAAAAAATTAATGTTAGAAGTTACACGTGGAGAAACGTCAATTTGCTTGGCTTGAGGTTTGCAACACGGTTATGGAGTGTTTTTATTACTGTAAATAAGATACTGCTTTTTACTGCATGGTGTACATTTGCCTCTTTCCACATTAATGCAGAAAATGCGTTTAGAAGTCAGCGAGTGCATTTTATGTCCAGAATTACTGTATTCAAGTCTCTGTATCTTACAAATATTGTACCATTTCATTTATTGCACTTAATATTTTTTTTAAAAAAAGCACAACCCAAAAAAAAAAAACCCAAACTTTTTTTCTTTAAAGTTTGTCTTGGCAGTGCTCGTGCTTTCTCTGATTCTTCCCAAGACCAGCCAGTATATCAAGTGGATTGTCTCAGCGGGACTGGCACAAGTCAGCGAATTCTCTTTTGTTCTGGGAAGTAGAGCACGCAGAGCAGGGATCATATCTCGGGAGGTAAGCTGTTCTATAGTTATTAACTCCTTTTTTTTTGTACCTAAATGACGTACCGGGGTTTTGCATTACAGTGTGTTTGAAATACCAATACGCGCCGCTTTTGTGGCATTTCTCAACTGTTAACGACTAGAATCAACCCATACGAATGGAGACACGTGTCTCCCTGACAGGGTTCTTGGTTCCATTTTTCACTTATTTCATACTGTTCTTTATTATTTTAAATAGGAGCTTTGACTTTTACATAGCTTAATTATAAATGCTTTGCCTTAACTGCTCTCCCAACTTCTTTATTAACTGAGCAGTGAGTTGTAGATAGCACCCAACTCACTAAGGCCTAGAAGCCGTTGCTTTTAAAATCCCGATATAGCTATCGAAAGAGGTGACTGAGAGGATAGGGTTTGACTAAGGAAATACTGGTAAGTAAGAACCAGAGAGCAGATATGGTAGAGTGGAGTGGAAATTGCCTTAATATCTAAACAAGCAAACAAACTTGTAACCTTTACCTGCAAAGCTTGTTAATTTTAAATCCTCTGCAGAAAAAAAACAACCAGCTTTTTCAGTAGTCCCAGGAAAAGATCCCCTAGGAAAACAACCTGAAACTTTGTTTTATTCTGAGGCTGTAAGAATGGTAAAGTCTGCTTTGTGAAGTAAATTATGGCTACAGAGATACAACAACTGAGCTCCCTTTCTCCCCTGTATCTCTGCTCACCAACACCGCGCTGGCACGCCAAGCTTTTTGTTGTGTGAGCAAGTGGGCTGTATAATGCTGGAACCAATTCCAAATAAAGCACGTGCGAAAAACTTATGCAGTGCTTCTCGCTCGTGTAGGTGAAGGGGATTCATTTTCACGTTTGCTCCTGCATATAACTAGGAGTTATAAATATTGTATGTTTGTATAGAGTTTCAAGATACCCATACGTGATCACAGAACCAGTTTAGGGGCCCACCCACTGTGCTTGGAGGCCTTTAGGCTTTGGGGTTTTTTTCCCTGGGAGCTCCCACATGATTTTCTACGGTATAGGTTTGTGCAGCTCTGAAGTTTCCGAAAGTCATTCACCTGTTGGGGGCCTTAGAACTACTTTCCGCTGCCGTTTGTTAAGGCTCACTCAGAATATGTAGTTAAGATCTTATTTCAGGAGACGTGCAGGACAACTTAAAAGGGATTTTTGTTAGCTTTTTTTAGTGTATAAAATAGTAGCGCGCTTTGCCACTACATCATTAAGCCGGAATAGTTTTGGGTTCTTTTAATAACCTGGTATTTGGCCTTTGAGCTTTTAGCAAACTTTGAGCTTTCAAAACTGACCTCTTAAGTATACATGTCAATGATTGTTTTTCTATAAGCTGATAATGTTGATTTTGTACTTTCATCTTCAAACGAAGTAAACATAATTAGATGATTTGTGCAAGCACTTGTTGCTTTTGTAACAGCGTGCACAGTTGGTTAGGAAGACAGGTGGCGTCTCCTGAAAATATTGTCCAGAAAAGTCTGCTCTCCTCAAACTTCTAGACGCTTTTTAGTTTATCACCTAACTAAGAGAAGTAATGTCTTTCATTTCCAATTTTCAGGTCTATCTTCTTATTCTGAGCGTGACTACTCTGAGCCTTTTACTTGCCCCTGCCCTGTGGAGAGCTGCAATTATGAAGTGTGTTCCAAGACCCGAAAGACGCTCAAGTACCTGATTTAAGACTTGCACATGTATGACAACACATCTTCCTGTAAGGAATATCGTTATGACAACACATCTTCCTGTAAGGAATATCGTCACTGCTCATTGTATCTCTATACACTCGGAAAACAAGAAGGTTCGAGTAGTCACTCCTCTTAACGTGCGCGTGGTTATAAGCCTTATACTGACCTCAAAGCAAAATGAAATTCAGCATTAAAAAATAGTTATGTGATTGGAATTGCACACCTTTTACAAAATTTCCTTTCTCTCTGGCAGATTAGAAACTGCCAGAATATTTGTTCCCGATCCAATCAATTATTCAGAGCCTAAATTTTTTTTTCTTTTTTAAATATAGCATCATGGAAACTGCGTTGATTATTTTTTTGCCTGAATGTGCCTTTTAATTTTCATCCTATTTTGTTACTGCTGGTTCATTACCAGATTTTGTTTAAAAAGAAATATATCTATTATGGTGCCTATGGTATCTTCTTTCACTGAATGACTTGAGTCATTTTCTCACTTAGGAGTTTAATATACTAGTACAAGATTAATCACAAACCACATTTCTAATTGTGAGTAAAAGTGTAGTCCTCTACACTAAGGAAAGGTTTAGCTGTTTAGCATCAAATTGTTTTAAGCACTCAAAAACATATTCCAAACGATGCAGTCAATACTGTCTGACATTTTATTCCAAATTACAGCATATACTGTATTTTCTTATAGTGGTAACTTTTATTTGTGTTCGTTCTTGTATTTATTTGTATATTTGACTAAAAGTTGATGATAAGTTGTATTTGAAGACTGACAGTTGTCACCCATTCTTGTTGCTAACTGCTGTTACACTGATTGTTTACAGGGTTCTTTTTTTTTCTTTATTTAAAATCAAAACTAAATCTAGGAAAACTGGGAAGTCTAATTTCAAGCAGAGGTGAAAAACATCAGTTCTGTAACTTTGGAGGTTCGATGTTACTGACACTATGCTAGATTTGAAATTAAGTAAATGAATTTGCACAAAACTAGAAGTGGCAGACTGGATGTCTATTTGGAACTCCACAACTTTATACTTTGCATTTACCTTGAATAAATCGTTGGTCTCTTTAACCTATCATGGCATTTTAAAAAAGTGTTTTGAATGTGGTCTTAAATGTCAGTGTGTTTTTCTTTAAAACATTATATGTAGCAGGGTAAGCCTGGTAAAAGCCCATTCTTTGTGTCATAGAAAAAGCTCACTCACAGACTTTAGTCTGTTTGACAAACAATTTTTTAAATGTTCTTGAGGTTTTTCTGCTAAAAACAATACTGTTAAAGACACATTAACACTTTAGGTCGATATTATACTGTCACCTGAAATAATTTTGACACCCACAAAATGGTTAGAAAAACGCATGTTTCATAGGTTTAACGTTGCCAGTTAAAATGAAAGCCATCCTCCAATTAGCAAAACACAGCTTTGGAGGAATTGGTGTGCTTTGTACCTCTTCCCTCCCCCATAGTAGCCTCCGTTTCCTCCTGTGTTTTCTCTGGCATCTGCTGGGCTTGACAAAGTGCAGCTTGGACTAATGTGGAGTGTGTACGCACGGTAGGACCCGCATATTTGAGTTCTTAAAAGAGATTTTAAACTGATTTGTTGGTGTCCTTCAATATTTTGTATTCAAAATACAGAAGCAATTCAAAAGTTTTATGATAGTGTTTGGCAATCTACTAGCTCAAACCTTTTACTCTTTATCAGGTGCCTCACTAAAACAATTTGTTTCTTAACCGCATTAGGGAGAGAAATCTTACTTTATCCACTGACCTATCTCATAGTTTCTGCTTGCAACACAAGCTTCTCTCCTGAATGCCTCGTTTTGGTCTTGGAAGATGCTTATTTCACATGTAGTTTGCCACCTATGTTTCTGAGGGGAAAAAGGGATCTATGAAAGACCGTGGTAGAGACCTCTGTGTGGTTTCCATTATGTCTCTTAGCCCTTGAAACTATTAGACAAAGTGTTACAGCTGTGATGAGTAAACCTTTTGTCTAAATAAATTGCTGTGGCTAGTTGTACTTCTCTGGAAAATTCCAGTTAGGAGAGTAGGAAATACTGATGGTTTGTGTCTCTTAAAAGAAAGAAAATATTTTCCCGGTGACCTTTTAGAGGAGTTGGGTGAAGAGCCCTTTTGGTATCATGTCCAAAATGCAAAGCAAGTATCTAGATACCTTACTGGCTGCCTCATCGCCGTCAGTTCTTTCTGAAATAATTTTTGATTCAGTCATCACTTGGCTAGGCTTTGGGAGAACTGAGGAAAGAGAAATAGAAGCCTGATCCGACTATTGATGTTTGTGCCTCTTTGTTGATGCAGACTTGGAATGCATGATTGAATATTAGATGCAAGTTCAAATTACTTATCTTATTGGACATGTAAGTTTGAGAAGATCCCAAACATCTGATTGTAAACATTAAAATCTGGAGGTAATATTGAGATATTGTAAATGTTTCCTGAAATGCAAATAATGCCTCCATGCATAATTCCATGTTAAAATGGGATAGTCTCATGATACAATCTCAGCATAGAAGCAACAGACTCTATTCCTGAATGATCGGTCATGCCCATATGGAAAATGGGGAGAATATGTCACAACTGGCCACCTAGCTAAAAGTGCGGCATTTCAGGAACGTTATGCTTGTACTCCACAAGATTCTCTTCCTGTGACAAGGAGATAAAATTAAAGCAAAGATCCAGAAGCCCTGCAAGAAAAATCTACTGATGTGTTGGAGAACTAGTGTTTTTTTGCTGGAAATTTTTGCTTCAGCTTAATGGGCAGTGGTTGTGTCTCATTCATTTATCTAATGATCAGTATCATTTGAATACAGAAAAGCTGATACAGGGCAGAAACTTGGTAAGTGATGAGAGGGTATTTCTGTGATAAAGCTGAGCTTAAGGGTGTGGAAAGGGAAAGGTCTTCCTTGAGCTCAAGGGGCAGCTCATTCAGCATACCTGTTTTGGGGTTGGGGTTTTTTTTGGTTGGTTTGTTTCAGAGGTGGGTGCAATTGGTTGCTTGTTTTATGTGGCTTTCTCTCTGAAAACTGGAGTTCCTGCACATCACCCCTTAACTGCTACCTTTGGTCATTGTTGCCTGTGAGGGCAACGGAACCAAAACTGTTTAAAAGCTGGTCGCATGGGCTGTGTTTATACTTTGTGAGTCCTTTCCCTCTTCCCAGGGCCAGATTGGTGTATACATGGACCCACAACCAGCCTACTCATGGCTCATCCCATACAGAGCAGGTTGTGCTTCAGTTCCTTAGTAGGCAAAGTATCCAGTGGAAGCTTTGATGTAGGTTCCTGCAACTGTGACTGACATGGGTCTAAGATGGCTCATGGAACGCTGTCATTGTGGCCTAATCCATGGGCCTACTTGGCTTTTGAAAAGCTTTAAGAATTTTTATTTCCTATAGTTCATAGAATCACAGAACGGTTTGGGCTGGAAGGGCCCTTAAAGACCATCCAGTTCCAACCCTCTTGCCATGGGCAGGGACACCTTCCACTAGACCAGGTTGCTCAAAGCCTCATCCAGCCTGGCCTTGAACACTTCCAGGGATGGGGCATCCACAGCTTCTCTGGGCAACCTGTTCCAGTGCCTCACCACCCTCTCCAGGAAGAATTTCTTCCTGATATCCAATCTAAACCTCCCTATTTTCAGTCTAAACCCGTTACCCCTTGTCCTGTCACTACAGGCCCTTGTAAAAAGTCCCCCCCAGCTTCCTTGTAGCCCCTTCAGGTACTGGAAGGTGCTATAAGGTCTCCCTGGAGCCTTCTCTTCTCCAGGCTGAACAAGCCCAACTCGCTCAGCCTTTTATCATTAGTTGTCAAAGATGAGGAGAAAACAGCCTCGTCATACCCTGTATTTCCCTTGTTTTACACTCAGACATCCTCTGCTTTGCAGGGAGGTGTGGGGGGTGCCCAGTATGGCAGAATAGTGCTGTATGATGATGCTTGATGGTGGGCGTGAGAAACCTAGCACGGTCTTCCTACCTGCTGGAGTGAACCCAGGAACAGTCTAACCACAAAAGCACTCCTGGGGCTTGTCTGGGGAAGGAATCTGTAGTTCCGCTCTGTAAGCGATCCTGGCAGTGCTCCAGCACGTGGGCAGCGCCAAAGGTGGAGGAAACTGGACCCCTGAGTGACAGGAGGCAAGCCACGCTGTTAAACAGCGTTAACATCTTCCACGGAAAGAGAAGTAGCTTAAAAGGAGCAGCCAGTACCAGACACCCACTGCTGAGATGACCTGAGAAGGAGGGAGCCAGCACAGCTATGGAAGGGAGAAGGAAGAGCAGCAAGATGTCCTAAGGGCTGGGAGATGTGTGGCCCACCCTGCCCTAAAGGAAACAAAAGGCAGAAGAGAAAGGCATGCCTCTACCGGCTTTCCGTGTAGCCCAGGAGGTGTGCTGCTTCCCTCCCTTCTCCCACTGCCTCCACTGAGCAATTGCCACTGCCCGGTGGGAAACACTGACAGTGAATCACCAGGGGAGACCAGGAAAACCTCCTGGTTGCTAGAGACAAAGAATAGGACAATGGTGTGGCCAGAGTGGCTTAGGGACAACTGGTCCAGCTTTGGGGGATAAAGCCTAGATCAGGGAATGGCAACGCTTTCAAGGTTATGGTACCAAGCTGTATTTTTTTTTAATTTCCTAAAACAGAGCAGGAATTTGAGAATTCATAGAATGGTTTAGGTTGGAAGGGACCTTAAAGATCCCTTAAAGAACTGGGAGATGCTGCCTGCCAATGAGGCCAGATGCTGACAAGCTTGTCAGCTGGTATTAGGTCTTTATGTAATCTCGCAGGTCCCTCTCTTAAGACAACGTGGCTTCCAGTTCTGAAGCAGGTAGGTCGAAACGTGCCCACGTGCGTGTCCTCTGGCATCTGTCGTAGGCTTCTGACTAGTGCCTGTCACACAGTTACGCCACACTGACGCTGTTGGAAATGGTGGTCTGTCCTCCTTTTCAGGCACACTGAAAAGGGAGGAAGCAGGCCACAGGTGTGAACTGGAATAGCCTTTCACCAC